AGTTTTTTTTTAGACCCCTAACGAACGCCCCAAAGTCAGCAGGAAGTAGATTGAGAAAAAATATGTCGTCCATTTTTCTGGTCGAAATGCTAAATCAAAAGAACTCCCTTAGATGGGGGACAAGATAAAATTGTCCACTGGTAACCCAAGGATGGGTCACCTAAAAGAAAAAAAAGGGGGGCAATCAAGGACTTAAGAATTAACAAAGAAATAAAATAAGGAGACTTAGAAAAACCTCCCATGCCGACTGTTGGTGGCGCAAGCCTTTAATCCCAGCACTCGGGAGGCAGAGGCAGGCGGATCTCTGTGAGTTCGAGACCAGCCTGGTCTACAAGAGCTAGTTCCAGTCCAGCCTCTAAAGCCACAGAGAAACCCTGTCTCAAAAAAAAAAAAAAACAAGAAAAAAGAAAAACCTCCCATACTAAAAACAGGGTGACCTGACTTAGAAATCTAACCAAGGTCACAATGACCCGAGTACCGGGAATTTCCTAGCCGGCAGCAATAACTCCCTTACAAGGCCACAAGACAACCTAACTAAATACCAAGAATTCCCAGAGGGCCACCCTGCCCTGGGTCATGAAGATAAGAACAGACTATCCCACTGAGTCAGGAGACCATCCGGCCCCCAAAATAAGAGACCTCCAAAGGACCTGTGACTCTGGTCACCACCCTAACCCCTAAAAGCCTATGGTTTTCTCCTATAAAAGAAGCCTGCTTTGGAGGAACAGGGCTTTCCTTTGTCAGACTGGGAGGCCCGTTTTCGAAATGTCCCACAATAAACTTACCTCTTGTTTTTACATCAGCTGGACTGGACATTGAGTATTTTTGGGGGGACCGTCTGATTTGTGAAGACTCCTCGATCCGAGGGTCTTTCACTACCACACCCCACTAAAGAATCTTTTTGAGACAGGATTCTCACTATGTAGCTCTAGCTATCCTGGAACTCACCATGTAGACCAGACTGACCTTGAACACACAGAGATCTGCCAGCCTCCACCTGAGTTCTGGGATTAAACATGTGTGACAATATGCCCAACTACACACACACACACACAACACACCTTTTTTTTTTTTTACCGATGTTGAGATTGTTAGTTTTGTAGTGAGATTAAGTCCTTTCTGGGAGCCTGCTTTGATGTTTTTCTGTGAATGAATGAAGTTGTCAGGAAAGCACACCATCCAGCAGACCTTCCCTTTCAGGTGGTCTTGAGCAGGAACCTTTCAGGGAAGCATGCACCCTAGTGACAAAGCCTATTCTAGACACACCCATTGAGGGCAGGACTCCTGCTTCAGGTCACTTCTACAGCTAGAAACCTTTGCTCTAGGTAAGACACGCCTCAGTGAACTTCCAAACACATCCAACCAGAAGCCCGTGGGCAGCATGCAGTTAAGGATACCTACAATGGAAGCTCAACACAAAACAATAGCCTTTTAAAGTATTATGAGATTTGGGGGGCTGAAGCTATGGCCCAGGGGCTAAAAGTACATACTACTATTGCAGAAAACTAGAGTTTGGTCCCCAGCACACACATCAGGCAGCTCACACCTTCCTGTAACTCCAGGTCTAAGGGATCCAATACCTTCTGACCTCTGGGCAAAATAACTGCACTCACGTGTTCATACCCACACACAGACCCGTAGACACACAAAAGACACACACAGACAGATGCATACACACAATTAAAAATAAATCTTTAAAAAACATTTTTTTTGCCAGGTGATGGTGGCACAAACCTTTAATGCCAGCACTCGGGAGAGGTGGCAAGTGGATCTCTGTGAGTTCCAGGACAGACTGGGCTACACAATGGAACCCTGTCTTGAAAACCCAAAGAGAGAAAGAGAGAGATTTGTGTTTTGTTATGTAAATGACAACATTCATTTGTAAGGTCAAAAGGTTGGACACACCTGTGCCTTGACCCCCACCTATAGCTACTCCAGTGACCCATTTCAGCCTGCTCTGGATTTGATGCCTCTACCGGTTCAGAGGGACACTCCCTTGATGACTCAGGAAGGCTTGTGATTGACAGATGGGAGGGATGACTTTGGTCTTGGTAAAACCTGAAGTGGCTGTGTGTTGCATGCCACACCTATGAAATACCCACCTCCTCCTGGCTCTGTCCATAATGGGGGGGGGTTTTTTTTTTTTTTTTTTTTTTTTTTGCCTACTTGCAGTCTTTATGGCAGGTAAAGACTCTTGCTATCACAGGTAGAGCAAGATGAGCTGGTTATGCAAAGAGGAGACAGCAAAAACAGTTGCAGCAGTGACACTAGGCACAAAAAGGTGACCTAGTGTTTCAGAGAGTAGACGGGGCGAGGATAATGAGGAAAAATGTGGAGAAGGCAGAAGTTTGTGGAAAGTAAGGGATGAAGCAATGCCTGCCTCAGGCTTCAGAGCTCTAGGAAGTGGACAAGCCTTAAAGGCCAAGGGTGCCATAACGGAACTCACTAGCTGCTGAGCACCAGCCAGGCTACGGGCAATCCAAGCCCAGAGCCCCGCACCTCCCTTGTGAGCCCCTGAAACTCTAGGTCTCTGAGTTGTAGGTTGGGGAGCACAAGTCTTACATTTTCCAGACTTGGAGCGCTAAGCCCTTGTGTCAGTCTGTCCATACCACAAGCTTTGGGCACTAGAGGACCCAGCACTACCAAGCTGAAAGACTATCCCTCCTGGTTTACTTGTGACTTTTGCGTCCCAGTAGACAAAAGGACCCTCTCTCAGTTCAGTGGTAACATTTCTGCACTCCCACCCTGCAACAAGGTTCTGCCCATAGAGCCTGAGTTTGGGATGAGATCTAAAGTGGGGTGCAATGGCTGTAAGAATGAAGAGCAGAGGCTGCCTGCGCCCTTGTCCTCTAGGGGGTAGAGACTCATCTGCCAGGCAACAGAAAGCAAGCAGCACCCATCATAAGAGTGGCGTGTAGCATGCTGGGTGTAGTGGCACACACCTTTAATCCCAGCAGTCAGAGCTAGAGGTGCACCTGGTCTATAGAGCAAGTTCCAGGACAGCCAGTGTTACACAGAGAGAGAAACCCTGTCTCAAAAAACAGAATGGCATGGCACCCAAGTCCCTGGGTCAGCCTGCCCTGAAATTGGAGCTACCGTGCAGGCTTGTCACCCACAAGGGAAAGCTTCCTGACTAATACGACGGCACTCGCCTGCCTCCCTCCTACACTGGCTGTGAGACTGCAAGAGATCTCCCACACAGTTAACAGGACACTCCTGCTCTTGGTCCATGCCAACCTCGTCCCCAGCACAAACCAGCTCTGCCTTTGGCCATTTACTTTATCATTCCCCTGCTCCAGCTGGCTAAAAATTCCTGGTTAAGGCCGTGTGTGTGTGTGTGTGTGTGTGTGTGTGTGTGTGTGTGTGTGTGTGTGTGTGCGCGCGCGCAGTGTCCATCCTGATGCATTAGTATAGAGGCCAGACTGGGTCAACCTCAGGTATGATTCCTCAGACACCACCCACCCTGTTCTTTGTTTTCGCTGACCTAGCACTTGCCACTAAGGCTAGGCTATCTGGCCAGAGGGCCCAAATCCATCTGTCTCCATCTACCCAGCACTGGCAAGTGAGTGCCTCCAAGCCTAGATTTTTATGTGAGTTCTGGAGATCAGCACTTTACTGACTGGAAGATCATCCCAGATCTCTTTCCTCCTTCTCCTCTTCCCACAGTCCTGGTCCAAGCCATGTATGTACTCAATGTACTCCATAAACCCCGTCTGGAAGCCCCTGAAACCAACCAGATTAGCTAGGCCTCCCCCTGCCAGAGTAAACCGTAAAAAATGAGAATCTCTCTCAGATGAAGGAGGCTGAGTTGCAAAGAAGACTCTGAGACCAGACCAGCTGCCTGCAAGAGTTTAGAGCAAGCAAGCCACATGAAAAGGACACTCCAACCTGTGGAGCTGCCTGCAGGCTGTGCAGCGTGTTCCAGGTTCCCAGCTTTGTGAGTTGTCACCCATGCTGGGGTGGCCTTGGTGATGCAGCTGCCTTTGAGTCATTTCTGTGCCTGTAAGTGACCCCTCATCCACATTCCTGTAAGTGACCCCAATAAAACTCATTGGTTCCCCGAGCTGGACTTTGGAGGCATCTGCACTCAGGTCTGTCTTGGGCTCCCTCCCTGGGGGTGAATAGATGTGTGTTGCCATCTCCCAAGGAAAAGTGTCACACAATACCCAGGTGATTCAGGACACCACAGAACCTCAGTCAACAAGACATACAAAGGGTCACTGTAGTTGTCTCCTGTCCATGCTCCCTCCCTCCCTCTCTTCCCTCCCTCCCTCCCTCCCTCCCTCCTTCCCTCTCTTCTCTTTCCTCTCCTCTTGCCCTCCCCCTAAACCCAGACTTTTGTGCATGTGAGCGAGCATCCCACCAGCAGCTGCAGCCACTCTGGCCTAGGCGAGTGTCTATAAAACCAGAAATTAAACAACATGAGCCCAGGGCAGATCCGTATTAACTCAGTGCAGACTGCTGGGCACCCGGACCAGACCGTGCCTGGATCCTCTCCTAGACACTACGCAGGAAGCTCATTCCTCACCAGCCGTCCTCAGCACCCTAGTGTGCAGGAGGAGGGGAGGCTTTGGGGGCCTCCAGCCCTGGGTGCCATTTCCTGCTGTGACTTAGGACCTGTCTCTTGGTTTCAGCTTCTTCATCAAAAAACGGATCTAACCCCGGTCAGGAGGTTAGAGGAAGAATTTACAGATGAACAGGCGAATACTAGGCATGCAGGACCTTCTGAACGCGTCAATCCTCTCCTGTCCTGCAGGTCGCGGGGGTGGGGGTGGGGGGTTGGTTTTGGCCTGTCCTCCAGCCTCACCTGCAAACTCCCTTCCCCATCCCAGACTTCTAAGAACAGAGAACCACTGTGTAGAACAACAGTTGAGTTGCCCCACAGCCTGGGCAAGGAGGCCGGAGAGGCCCAGTGAGGAGGGGCGGCGTTGCTCCCCTCTCCACGCGTACCTGGGCCCCACCCAGGTTGCCAGGGAGGGGGCCACGGCGCCAGCCCTTACCAGAGAAGATCCTCCCGTCCCCGGTGAGCAGGGCAGCTCCTACAGGGAAGCGGCTGTAGGGGCAGTAGGCTGACTTCTTGGCCTCACGAGAGGACAGTAGCAACCGCTGGACGTGCTCGGGCTCCACGGCACAGGAGGGGCGTTCCTGGGCCATGTCGGTCCGGTCCGGGGTGGGTGTGCTGGCTGCAGCAGAGGAGAGGAAACTGTAGCTGGCGGTCTGCTTGCACTGGCCGGGAGAGGTGGCTCCTCCCCCGGGGTGTGTCCCGCGCGACACCAGAGACCTGGAGGCTCCCGGGGCTGGAGCCCCGAGGATACCGTTTCGGCTGAGCTGGGGAGTCCCAGGGTGGACCGATGTGTGGTGCCCACGAGTGAGTCAGTCTCCTTTAAAGCCTTCACTCAGTGCCAGCCTGGATCATGAGGGGGTCACAGGGCCAGTGCCACTTCAGTGAATGGTTGGAGACAAACACCGTCCATGGGAGGAGGATTCTGGGTGGGTCTGTGTGACCTGAGCTCAAAACTCAAAGGGTCCAGAGCCCTTGAAATTTCTAATGGCTTTTTTTTTTTTTTTTTTTTTTTAACTGAGAGAAGGGATGAGGCTGAAGGGCCACCATGGCAGTGTGCCAAGTCAGAAGGTATGCAAAGCGCGGGAACGTCTCTGGTTTCAGTGGTTTCCTTTCTTTTCCTCCCAGTCCTAACCCAGCATTTAAAAGCATATCAGCTGAAGGGAAGCCGGGCCTTCCTTCCTTCCTTCCTTTCTCTTCATGGACATTGGGTTGGTGGTACCAGAAATGGATTTATACCCTGGTTGTTCCTTTTCTCTCTCATATAAATGTTATCTGGTTCCTTGATGAACGTTGGCAGTTTTCCTCTGACTACAGTAGCACGGAAGCACGGAAACTTTGGGTTAAAGTGGGCTCTGGCTTAGACTCCAGGTCTGTTTATTAGCTCTTTCCATGACCCAGGGAGAGCTGCACTGCTTCTCTGAGCCTCAGTTTCCTTATTTACAAAGTGGGCACACAGCCAGCATCGCCTGCCAATGGGTGTGAACATGAGATGATAATGCCGAATAGAGAGCCTGATGGGAGGATCTAGAAATGGCACGTGTGAACACTTTACACAAACCTGGTTATTGTCTACAAGTGACTTGGCCAAGATCGTATAGAACGGGCCAAATTCCAGGCCGTGCAATCAGGCACGTCCAAGTGTCTCCAGATGGCCAGCATGCAAGATGAATCAGCAACTTCTCTGAGTGAGGCTTGTGTGGTGCTAAGGGCTGGGTCGGGGAAGGCATGGGAGAAAGGAAGAGAATGGGACACAGACACCTCTGCATCCAGGGCCGTTAGCTCTCAGCCATATATAGATGAGGTCACACCTGGCAGTGCCAATGCCCCAGGGGCAGGGTTTGCCTCAGTTCCTCCCCACACTTGTCTCTATTAGTTCCTGCCCACCCCACCGTATCCATATCTCAAGAGGCTCTTATCCCTCCAGCTTGGTACCCACCCATCCAGTTGCACTTTCCCCTTGGATGGGGACTTGCAGCATGAAGACAGGTCCGTGGATCTAAATGATAAATGTTTAGGGGCCAAGTGTAATTCCAGCTTGGAAAAGGGTGATGGTGTCCTCATGGCAGGACTCAAAAAGACTTCAATGAGTAGTCTGGTCTATGCACCCCACCCTGAGGAGACAAAAAAAGGGAAAGGACCTGGCCAGATGGCTCAGCGGGTAAAGTGCTGGCTCGCCCAGCAAGCTTAACATCCTGAGTCAGAGCCCCAGCATGCAAAGGTGGAGGAGAGAACCGACTCTACAAAGCTGCCCACTGACCCCCAAATGCTTGCCATGGTAAGCATGCACCCACTGTCACATATCACACACACACACACACACACACACACACACACACACACACAATTTCCTTGTTGTTGGTGATGCATGCCTTTAATTCCAGCACTTGGGAGGCAGAGGCAGGCAGAGCTCTGTGAGTTTGAGGCCAGCCTGGTCTACAAAGCAAATTCTAGGACAGCCAGAACTGTTTCACAGGGAAACCCTTTCTCAAAAAAAAAAAGTATTCCTCCAAGGACTGGGTATGGTAGACATGCCTTTGCTGCTGGTATTTAGGAGACAGAGGCAGGTAGATCTGTGGGTTGGAGGCCACCTTGGTCTACAGAGAGAGTTCCAGGCTAGAAGGGCTACATAGGAAAGCTCTATCTCAAATAAATAAATAAAATAAATGATTCCTTTGGCCTCTTTTGACCCATATTTTTGTCTTGAAAGTTTGTAAGCCTGAACAATACATTCCAGAAACAACTTTATAATGAGTGTCATACACTAAAGTTCTTACAATGAAAATAAGTACACCAAAAAACGTTTTCACTTAAACCTGAAATCCTTTGAATGATGTAGCTGTGTAGTTTCAAAAGTCACAAAAATATCACACACATGCACAAACACGCGTGCATACACACACACAGAGCTATTGTCTTTCTTGAGATGCTTGGTTTGCACTCCCTCTTGAGTTTGTACTTTCATCCTTTTCTTTTTAAAAACATTTACTATCTATTACTTTTTAGTATGTGTTTCTACGCAATGTGTTTCTGTGTGAGCTTGTGCACGTGAATGCAAGTGCCAGTGGAGGCCAGAGGAGAGCACTGGATCCTGAGGAGCTGACAACACAGGAAGTTGTGAGATGTCTGATGCCAGGGCTGGGAACTGAACTCAGGTGCTCAGCAAGAGCTTGAAGGGATCTTAGCCACTGAGCCATCTCTCTAGTTCTTTTTCTTAATCTCTATCCCTCTCTCCCCCCATCTCATATTTAAACCTGCATTAAAAACTTTTACAAACTGCCAGGTGGTGGTGGCCCATGCCTTTAATCCCGGCACCGGGGAGGCAGAGTTCCAGGGCAGCCAGGACTATACAGAGAATTCCTCTATTGAAAAACCAAACGCCTTTTAAAAACCAAGTCACGTTTGTTGCATACTGACTCATCCTGGCATAAATCAAGATCTGGCTGCTTCTGAGGAGAATTCTGAGGAGAATGTCTCAGAATCCATAGCTGGCAATACTGAACTGTGGCCCTTGCTACTACCGACAAACCTAGACCTCCCCAGGCTCAGCCTCCTGGATCCCTCAGCACTAGCACCCTGATGACTTCCAGGCTAGTCACAGCCTTTGACTCCTTCAAACCTGCCCTTCAAAGATGGGGACTGTATCCATGGCAAACACAGCTGTGCAGAGACTGGGAACCAGCCACGATGCAACGATTCCTTGTAGAAGGGATTGGGTGGCTGTTGAATGGAGCAAGCTTGGACTTGGCACCTTGCTTAGAGATAAATTATAGATCAATATAATTAACAGAATTTTCTAAACATGCACTTATTTCTACTTTATACAAAATTAAGAAAAGTCAACTGTCTGGTGGGAAGACTAGAAATATCCAAGAAGGGTCTTTTCTCCTTTCCTTCCTTCTCTAAGCCATTCATAACACAGCAAACCCAACGTGTGTGTGTGTGTGTGTGTGTGTGTGTGTGTGTGTGTGTGTGTGTGTGTGTGTGCCACATAGCAGACATTGTCGTTAGAAGGCTGGCAGGGGATGGAAAGACATGATCACAATTTCCTTGGGTCCTGGGCCATGGAGGGAGGCCTGAGAGTTTATATGTCCTGTGTCCATGTGATGTTTGCTGACTGTCACAGACTCTGAGTGTCTCTGCTAGCTTTAGCTACCAATTTGATACATCCTAGACATGGAAGAACGGGATCTCAGCTGAGGGGCTACCCAGATCAAATCAGCCTGTGGGTGCTTCTGCAGGAGGAGTGCCTTGATTGCTAATTTATACAGGAAGATCCAGCCCACTGTGAACATCACCATTCCCTGGGCCAGTGGCCCTGAGCTGTATAAGAAAACTAGCTAAGTGTAAGCCTATAGACAGGCTGTTCCTTCCTGGTTTCTGCTTTAAGTTTCTGCTTGAGTTCTTGCCCTGACTTTCCTCAATGATGGACTGAGATGTAGAAGTATCAGCCAGTCATCCCATTCCTTCCCAAGTTGCCTTTGGTCAGGGTTTTTGTTTGTTTGGTTGGTTGGTTTTTCGAGATAGGGTGTCCATGTGTAACAGCCCTGGCTGTCCTAGAACTCGATTTGTAGACCAGGCTGGCCTGGAATTCAGAACTCTGCCTGCCTTTGTCTTCTGAGAGCTGGGACTAAAGGTGTGTGCCACCACCACCTGGCCTGGTCAGTCTTTATCACAGAACAAAAAGAAAACCAGAGCACTAATTTGTTTGTCCCTGGAGCCCTGGGCTCTCAACTATCCCAAACTTCAGAGAAGCTGACATAGTGGGCTGGCCTGGGGCAGGCCTGTGGATCAGAACAATTAAGTCATTTTTTTTGTTTCCAGTGTACAGCTGCTGTGTCTGAGGCCAGTGAGCTCTGTGTCCTTGCTTTGCTGGAAGTTAGGGTAACAGTGGTGTCCCCGTAGCATGGATTCTAATGTTCTTAATAATAAAAATTCAGAGTCAGCTATCAGGGGGTGAAAACTGAAGATCAGAGAAGCAGAGCGGCCAGCCCTAGAGTTCTCACCTCTACCAATGCTCAGACCAAAGGGGCCATCCTGTCTCCTCAGATTGCCTCAGACTGCATACACTGCTCCTCAGACTGCTTCCTCATACTGCCTGCTTCAGACTGCTGCTTCAGATTGCCATGAGCTCCTGTCTCCTTCAGCCTTAAAGTCCTCTCTCTGCCCAGTCATATCCCTTCCTGTCCCCACCTCCTTAGTGCTAGGATTAAAGGTGTGTCATTCCAAGTGCTGGGATCACCTTTGTGTGAACTCTGTTTCTCTTTTAGACTGAATCAATTTTGTGTAGCCTAGGGTGGCCTTGAACTAACAGAGATCCATTTGCTTCTGTCTCCTGATTAAAGGTGTGTGGCACCACTGCCCAGCTTCTATGGCTAACTAGTGTGGCTAGCTCTGCACTCTGATCTGGAAGCAAGCTTTATTTGTTAGAGCACAAACAAAATACCACCACATGTCCCATGATGAAATGGGATCCACCAGATCATCCCATTCTGCTCAGAGAGACTTTTCTACATCTTTTGTTTTGATTCTTTCGGGGGAGAGCTCCTGGTGGGCTGCCAATCATTGTCAGCCTGGCAGCACAAGCCAATCAGAATCCTTCTCCTTCTGCTGAGTCCTGGGAATGTATTTGGCACTGTGGTAAGCTGAGATGCAGCTACAGAGCTAATAGCCAGCTTCCTCTGGTCCAGAGAGTTTGCTTGCAAAGTGAAGCCACCTACAGAGATACAAGGCTGAGGGCAGGAGAGGGAAGAAGCTGTCTCTGAGTCTGGCCAGGCCTGAGGGCATCTGTCTAGATTGTC